TTATATTTGGGCAAAAACTCACGCGTGGTGCACCATTAGGGAAACTGACATGGGATAGCTTTATATGGAGGATGAAACTTCTCTTCTTCTACCACAACACACTCACATCCTTAACACATTATGTTAGAAATGAATGAAAACGAAACAGCGAAAACAAAATTTTAACGTTTTCAAGTGGCGAAGCAACTTGTGGACAATCTTCTACTTGTAAAAACGTCCTAATCACTGACCTAGCGGCCCACGTACGGTAATCCACACAGCCAGTTGGACTAAAAGTGAGCCAGGTTCAGCAAAGATACTTTAACTTGACACTATTATGAACAAAGTAGGCGCTATCAGTAGGAATCTAATCCATCTCAGTTTGGGGACTCATATCTGCTTGTTAGAGCGTTGGCTGTACAAAAGCCTGTTGCTTGTTGTTGAAGATTCGAATTCCATCGAGTTTTTTACAATTGCGTCAAATAAATTATCAAAATTTGCCAAAACTCCCTACTAATTACGTGTGTGCCTGGCAGTCATCTGGCGTATTTTAGACTGACTGCTGTTAAAATCCTACTTTGGTGCATTTAGCTTACTGCATTAGTAGGCTGGGCGGCTAACTTGACCCAATCGTGGTCAAACCCACGGCTCCCAAAGGGAGCATCTTAGCTCATGTGGTAAGAGTGTTGACTGCACAAAACACTTCCCTTGCCAATATAAGCGAACATAGGAGTGCCAGGAAGTTATTGAGGAGAAGTAGATGCGCCTGTTGGAGTGGCCCATAGGTTCTGGTGAAGTTGCGGGTAAAGCAACTACATCGAAGAAACTGGAAGACTTCTCAAGACGTGAATTACCAAACACACGACGGCAGTGCAGAGAAATGACGCCTATTCTCAAGTTGCAGCTCATTCGATGGGACCCGACCACACATTCAAATTTGATGAGGCCGAAATTCTCGCGAGAGGTGACAAACATGTGAGTCGCGTGTTGATTGAGTCATGGTTCACGGGCCCCCAGTCTATAAACAAGTGCAGCGACCTGTGCAATAAATGATCGGTGCTGAGTCAATTTGGCCAAAGCAAGTTGCTACTTGAGGAATACACAGGCCAACGCTAGGGAGCCAGACGACCAAGCAATCATCATGTCCATTTTCACTATGTGTGATGAAAGTTCAACAGGTCACGTTAAATTCCACCAATATAAGGTCGATTTTCCTTCAATAGGCATCAGTTGCCGTAGCAACAGGAATTTATGTTGATGGAGTTGATTCTATTTAGTAGATTGATGAGAGTCTTACTCACCAGCCGGAGGTAAACGCTCGACGGGTGTCTTACAAACTAGCCCTTATGAAGTTTAAGACGCAAGTAAGCTCATATTTTCATTTGTGCTTGCTGCAAACATAGGATGCGTTTCAGTTATTGATGCACTTATAGGAATATACTACTAGAATATATTATCCGCTGGGCTTAGTAAGTATGATTACTAGAATTAGCACTTTTAGCAGTAGCATATTACCTCTAGAAGCAGTATCCTAGCCCAAACTTCGTAAAATGTGACAGCAACAGTTAATTTGCTTCATTAGTAACATATAATTCTAATCTATCTTACCTTAAAATCTATCTGGCTTGTGGGCAGATCACAGCGCGAGATAATGTGTCAGCTCTGACAAATGGTAGCGTCAATGTTATTACCCGTACCACTTACGGCGTGGGATAATATGACAGAGTGTAAGCCCAGATTCACGCTCCTTGTTGAGACCAAGGGGGTATGAGCCTGATGAATAGAGGTGAGGGCGCGGAAGACAAGGCCAGCCAGGACGTGCTCCGACAACGAACATGTATTACTCGGAATAGCATAAACCCAGATTGACATGAGCCTCAGCGCTGACCCGAATCAGCATAAACTCTGACTTATAGATTCGCCAGATACAATTACAGCACTATTAGCACTCCGCAAAATTGTCAGCTAATAGCAGCATAGGAAGACGATACCCTGCGATTATGCTCAGACTATCGCAAGCTAGACCTGCAGCCAGCCTATACATGGCAAAAAGCTACAGTCATTTAAGACTAAGGTAGGCGGTGTTTCGGCTTGCAGTCTTTCGCCGGAACCCGTTTAGTCTTCGAGA